TATGAATATATATATATTCATCCTAGTGGTTTGAAGTGGTAACTTATTGTGGTTTTGGGTTTTGCATTTCCTTAATGACTAATGATGTTGACCATCTTTTCTTGTTTTTATATTTGCAGATCATCTTTGGAAAAGTGTCATTGCGAATGCTTGGCTGTTTTTAAACTGGGTTAGTTGCCTTTTTTATTGTTGAGCTGCAAGCGTCCTTTTGGTATTCTGTACACCAGAGCATTTGTTTTCAATAATAGATTAACAATCTGCACCTGGTTTTATTGCCGCCACCCCTCCCTGCCAAAAGAAAATGCATCCTTCCATGGCCCTTTCAGAGGACAATTGGAACTTGCACCTGGCTTCTGTGAAACAGACTTTGCCTGTTATTGTGGTTTGAATGTGTCCCCAAAAGAACTCATGCGTAGAAATGTGGTTGTTATGGTCTCAGGGTAGGTAGTTAGACATGAGCAGTGAGGAGAGGATCTGGAGGTCTGCTGGCACTGCCCTCGGGAAAGGCCCCAGCCCACTCTTGTGGTCCAGAACATCCTACTGCTCAAGATAGGGGACGGCACAGGGGACTTCACATAAATTGGAGCATGCTTAGTGCTGAGCTCAGTTGTCCTCCCGTGACCTTTAGCTTATTAACATATCATTTACATTGCAGTTTTTGCCCCCACCTTGGGTTTTGCTAAGGTACTTATGGGAAACTACTATATAATAAGGCTCAACAGGGCATATGCAGAAGTGAGAGGGGAGGTGCCAGGAATGGGAGTGGAAAAGGAAAGGAAGAGAGAAGGAAAAATCCACTGAGAAGTGGGTAAACAGGGAAGGTGCTCCATGGATACACAATAAAAGCACAGAACACAGAAACCTTCCGACCTGCCCACTCCTACCTCTCAGGAGTGTACTTTCATTTTACCTTGCTTTATACAACACTTTCATTTTGCACTGTTCTGCACTTTAATTTTTTTTATAATTATCTAATCTTATTTATTTATTTATTTAAATTTCACCAGAGAGGGACAGAGAGGGAGAGAGAGAGAGGGAATGTGAGAGAGCAAGCCACCAGGTCTGGAACTTGAACCATGGTCAGTCATTTGGAAGTCCAGCACCCATAACCACAACAATACCTGCCAGCCCCTTGTACTTTTATTTTACCCTGCTATAAAGATTTCTCATTTTAGGGGCAAGCAGTTAGCCTAATGGCTATGTCATTGGACTCCCATGTAGTTGACTGCGGTTCGAGTCCCGGACCTGGTGGCTTAAAACTCACACCAGGCGCGTGTGCGTGTGTGCCCAAGATCCTGAGAGGAGTATGGAGGAGAAGGGATTGCGGTGTGGCCGTCCCCCCTGGGGAATGATTTCTCACTTTCTGTCTCTCTGTCTGTCTCTGTCTGTCTGGCGAG